AAACATTTAACCCTGATGGCATTGTACCTTCTGTCTGTGACTGCTGTGTCCAAAGCATGAACTCTACAACATTCTCAGGTCAGGGATGGGGAGGGTAGCTTAGTCTTTCAGCACTGATCTTATATATACAATATCCAGGGTTTGGACGATCCATACATAGCACTGAAAAGAAGTTCCCAGGTGAAAGCTAAAGAACAGGGCTCACATTGACTCTGCTGGTGGAAGTATTCTCTTTGCAAAATGAACACACTCAGCCAGTACTGTCCAGTGTGAGAGTCAGCCACCACATATTGCCATTGAGTACTGAAATGTGGCCAGTGTTTTTAAGCAGTTAAATTTTAGCTCAGATTTACATAATTTAAACTGCACATAGTAAACTGTGTTGGACAGCACAGGTGGAGAAATTCGTAATCTAAACTTATGCAGTAGGACTTACAAATTCCTATGGAAGATGGGGAATGATTAAAAAAAAAACACCTTAAGAAAGCATGCTTCTGGTTCTGTGAGGGGGTCATGGAAGCATGACTTTCAGTACTGTTACAGCTTGCATCTAGATGTCTCCCACTTCTCTAGACAAGTCCCTTTCAGGACATCTCTGCCCAGGATAGCAATACCAGGCATGGATGCTAGGTGTGTGGTCCCTTAAATTCCATGGGTGGTGTCTGAGAAAAGTGAGGGTCTTGGTCAAAGCAGAGGATGTCTTTTCCCCTAGAATAGGTAAATCCCCACAGAAGCCTGCCTCTGCTGTGATCACAGAGCAGCCCCAGGGAGAGTGACCAGGGAGGAGAGTCTATGAATTAATAGGATACATCTTACCAAATATGAAGATTTGTACTTTGAAAAATTTAATACATTAGAAAGAAGAGATAATGAGTGTCTAAAAAAAGAGAGGTATAAGCCTTGTCAATTCCCAGAGGATTTAATATTAGTACAATAATCAATATTTCCCAAATAGATTGAGAAAGTCCTTGGTCTCCAAGTGAAATTCTAAGATTCGTAGAAAATACAGAGAATCTAAAAGAGCCAGCAGAAAAGTTTAACACCAAACAGAGATGAAGGAATTACCCTACTTCAAGGATTATTAATCAGCAACAAACAAGGCCATGAAGTAACTCTACAAACACATCAGTATAACAGCATGAAGTACAGGAATATATCACATGCATCTGTAGATACAAACGACACATACTGGGAAGATGTAAGTGAATGTTACAAGAGAAAATATAGTCTCTAAAACAACTAATGCTAAAACTACAGGACATCCACATGCAAAGGGCAACCCTGGATCCGTACTCTGTTTATATCCATTAAATTAATAGAAACATATTTATTTATCAGATTTCTTATCTCTGGGACAACCTACTGGACACCACATGTGAAGGGAAGAAATGTTTATTCTGATTCACAGTTTTCAGCAAAGAATCAAAAAGAGAAGGGGAGAGAATGCGCCCTTCCAGTGCTGTCCAAGTGACCTGCTCTGTTCACCAGGCCCCATCTCCAAATAGGAGACTTTGGGGGACTCATAACAACTTATCTCTGCACAGTGGAACCAAAACAGTACCAGATATTTTGAAGAATTAGATCATGTGACTGTGTCATCTATCGTATTTGAATTCTGTGGGGTAGGCAAGCAGTTGGAAACTCACACAGCATTTATTTTTCTTAAAATACATTACCTTACTTTTGGATTAAATTATACACATTAATGAGCAAGTTCGATGTGATATTTCATTACATGGGTACATTGCACACTAATGAAACCCAGTATTGTTTTATCCTTTGCACACTCAGATCGACTGTTTTTAACTTTCCACATATGAGAGGGAACGTGCAGTACTTGCCCTTATGTGCCTGACTTATTGCACTTAAAATAATAACCCTTAGTCCCAGCAACTATAATATACACAGAGTTTAAAGATTTAGTTTACAACAAATAATCTTAGAATTATCTAAAAAGAAGTCTAACTAAAATTCTAATTTGTTAGACTACTGTAAAACTCTGCAGACCTATTCAGGTAAAAAGATTATGATTTAAATAGATCAGGATGCCATATTAATTAAACAGAAACAGAATATGGTAAAAATCACAATTTTTCTTCAGTACCTCATAAATCAGTGCCTCACTGCTAGTGGACAAACTGACAAACAAGTTAGGCTACTGCCTTGTGCTTCCTGAATTAACCCTGGAAAACAGTAGTAGAGAGAGAGACAGTCAAGCCCAGCAAACATATATGAGCATTTAAATGTGAAAAGAAAACATGAGGAAGCCCTGGGAGAGACTGAACACAACAGCCCTGGTACCTGTGGTTGGATGGGGAAGGGAATTTACGGTCTGCACTGAAACCTGCTTAGGTGGTCCACCACAGCATGAGTTGGAAGAAAGTTTTAAATTCACACCTCTAGAACACTGCACAGTCTGAGGCAGCACCTCATACCAGAGATTCCAATGACCCACTTGTAACAGTAGGACTCCAGGATACTGGAGATAGCCTGGCTACAGAGACTCTTCTAATAAGCACCTGAAAACTCTCCTAATAAGCACCTCACCTGCTGAGTGAGGACTGGCTTTTAAAACAGCTGCATTTTAACAGAACATAAAGAATTGAAGAGTAATAAGAAAGTATAGCAGTGAATCATAAGTAGTGACCATAGTTGTTCTGTGATCAAATAAGAGTCTCCTCCCTTCTGTCCCAGGGAACTATGGGAGTCAGAGTCTTCCTGTGAGGTGAATATTCTCAGGTCCATAGGAGACAGGGGTCTAGGCGGTGCTGAAACCAAAGTGAAGACCTGTAAGAAGGACAACAGTGACATACAGAATTCAGTTATTGCCCTCCTGTCACACCCCAGGCACAATGATGGATGTCTTATCCATTGACTGCCACCACTTGGGGTCAGAGAGATGGCCTTGTCCTGAGGTGCGCACTTAAAGTGCGGGGAGTGGAGAGGGCCCCAGCTCTGTTAGTGGTGCAGAAAAGCAGAAAGGCGAAGGTGAATGCCCCATCCCTGACAGACTGTCACCTAGAAAACTAAATGTTGTGTTTAGTCATTCCTACACTAGCAGGAAAGATTTTCGAGGGAGACCAAATTGCTGCTCAGGGGAGCTTGAGAGTCAGGTTCTTGCTCTGAAGAGAACAGATACAGGTCCATAGAGGACATGGCTCCAGATTTTTCCAGGGATGAAGCAGATGATTCTTACCTAAGTTGGAGAGATGGGGGGACTAGCTTTCCATACCTTCTGTGAGCCCCCAGCAATTTGCAGGATGTGGGGTCCACTGACTTTGCCTCATTGGGTTAGAGCCAGGGGCTGTAACTGGGGGGCTCAGGCTTTAAGTGAGAGGAGGAGAGTGGGCAGGTTCAATTAGGGCTCATTTTTCTGGACTGTGAGGGGAGCAGAGATGGCCCTACCCAGAGAGTGTTCACTAACTCTCCAGATCTTCCTCGCCTGTCGGCTCTGGACCATACAGGGGCAGATTTATTAGAAAGATGAGCCTTAGGAAATGGTGCCTTGGACAGTGGGGAACAGAATCAGGTCCATAGAGCACTAGGGTACAGGCTCTGACAAAATCCAAGGTGTTGATCCCTAGGGAGGAAGGAGGGGTCCAAAAAATTCCTTTCCTCTCTTACTGTCATCCCTGGGAGACCCCGTGCACTTTGCCAGATATGAAATCCACTCCCTGCCTCTGCTTTGGGTCAAAGCGACAGGAGGTGCTCTTCTAAGCTGTGCACTTCAGGTGAGCGAGCAGGGAGAGTCGGGCACAGATAGATGTCAGAGTGAGGGGCTGTGGGGGGAGTGAGGAAGCCCCACCCTAGAGAAAAGGCCCTGAAGCCATCTAGATTTACAGTGATTTTAGGCCTTCACTCCAGGGAGCAGTTCTGTGTCAAGCGCCCCATTTTGCCTTAGGGGATGGACAGTGCAGAGGCCCGGGCTCGTGCTGAGGGCCTGGCTTCAGGAGGGAGGAGTAGAGAGGACCTGGGTTCACTTAAAGCAAGGTGAGGACTGAGGGAGGATTGAGGAAGATCCATCACAGAGAGGGTTTCAGAACATTCTGGAAAATACTCTATTGCTTGCCCTGCCTGAGGAATTACAGAATTCTTAGGAGGTGCCTCATTTGCCCTCCCTGGGCCCTGAAAGGATATCAGAGCCTTGTTCTGTAGACTGAGCTTCAGGTGAGAGGAGTAGAGAGAACCTGGGAACAGTTAAGTCTAGGTGAGGGGCTATTGGTGGTACTCAGGAATACTCACCCCATTGAGATCTTAGAATGTTCTAGAAAATCCTGTTGCTGAGCCCGCACCTTACAGTGCCGAATGCACAGAAGAGCACCCACTTTCTCCTCAGTGGGAACTGAGAGAGAGTCTAGTGCTATAGGGCCACTGGCCCTGGCCCAGTCAAGATTAGAAGTGAAGCAGGACTCCTGGGCTCAGAATATATAACAGGTGGAACCTAGCCTGCTTAATCTTTCAAATAGAGTGCCACCTTGCATCCCCACATTCAATCAGTGAGAGAAAAATCTGAGATCAGGTAGAGGTTGGGATGCTTCCAGGACTCAAGGGGAAGACATACAGTGAATGTGAGTTGACACTGCACCCTATATCAGAGGGTGACCTCATGCCAGAAATGAGCCCCTGAGGGATTCAGTGCACCTTTGCTCTTGCATGTTCGTATCAGGCAAGAGGGGGCGTTGTTCTGAGCAGTGTGGCCTCAGGTCAGCTGATTCAACACATAAGAAGTTGGCCCTGATGGCAGTCTAGGGTGGCCATAGAACACTCACCCTGGCCCGTACTTCCATTTCTGCTGTGCTAGGGCAATGGTGGACTTGATTTCCCAGATGCACCCACAGGTCAGCAGCAGGGAAAATGTAACCACTTGGGCCTGCACCAGACAAGGGAGGGCCTCCGGATTCTACTCCTCTGTCAGTCTGGGGAAACCCTTACAGAGGTGTGCAGATGTGCTGCATTGTTGTCTCCCTTGTTTCAGGGAGGTGGCCCTTGCTGTGAGGACCTTCACCGGGTCACAGGAGGAGACACGTCCTGTCGGCAAAGCGAACAGGCCAGGATCTGCTGGGAATCAAGGAGAGGAACCCAGGTGAGGAGTGAGGGTTGTTCATACTGGAACATATTTGTAGTACATAAGGATTACATTCATCATGGAAACTTGCTACATGTACATGTTCATTCTCTTTCATCCCTTATCCTGGTCCTCCATCTCTCCCTGCATCTCTGGAGAAAATATATATGTGTGTGTGTGTGCGCACACACACATGCATCATACATGTTCCTAGTACATAATGATCAAATTACTCATAGGCAATTGGTGCATAGCGTACTTCACAATTTTTTTCCCTTTTTAAAATCTTGTGCTTCTCTCCTCTTTCTTCACTGTCTCTGCTCTTGAATCCCTTCCTGTATACTGTATACTAAAGATCTATCTCAGTATTGTATATTGTCTATATTTTCTTTTGTTCTTTATTTATATTTTGGATTTCACATATAAGAGAAACCATGCAATATTTAAGTGTGTACGTCTGATTTAGTTCACTTAACATTGTGATCTTGAAGTGCATACATATTCCTACAAATGTCTCAAATTTCTCCTTTGTATGAGAAAATAGTACTCCATTGTGTGTACATACCACATTTTCTCTATCCATCGGGTGATGGACATACAAGCTTCTTCCAAGATTTAGCTACTGTCAATTTTGCTGCTATAAACATGGGTATGTATGTGTCACTATATTATGATGTCTTTGAATTTCTCAGAAAGGAACCTAGAAGGGAAATATCTTGTTGAATGTAATTTCTGGTGTTTGGTTTTTTTTAAGATAAAAGAACAAACACATATTAACATACACATAGACATAAACAAAACAACACAGAAACAATAAAAGCAGTACAGAATTTCAGAAAAGGTGATAGGAAATTGACAATGGTTTTGTATTACATATTGTTATCTTAAAATTGCTTACTCAGTTAAACAAATATAGGCATGTAAGGTTGGAGATTCCTCAGTAAACTAGGATTAGAGGTCCCATTCAACCCAGCTGTGTCCTTCTTGGGTATTTTTCCAGAGGAACTAAAAACATCATACCACAGTGATATATGTGCACCCGTGTTTATAGCAGTGCAATTCGTAATAGCTAAATCATGTAAAAAACACAAACGTCCATCAACTGAGGAATGCATAAAAAGATGTGGTATTTTTATATAATGGAGTATTACTCAGCTGTAAAGAAAGATAAACTCGAGGCTTTTATAGGTAAATGGATGTAACTAGAGACCATACTCACAAGTGAAATAAATCGGACCTGCATCTGTAAGCACCTTATTGTTTGACTAGTATAAGAACTTGGAAGAGTAAATAAAATATAAAAGGTACAATAGATATTGTGAAAGGGAAAGAAACTGCTCAAAAGGACAGAATAATTGGGATGAGGGAAAAGAGAAAAAAAGAGGGAAATATGCATATATGCATACACAAGATAGCTAAGATAATTGTATTACTAATTTCTATTGCTTTGGAAAGGAACAGTTAATAGTGTTAGTTTTTGAAATAATCTCCATATTGGTTTCCATACTGGTTGTAACAGCTTGCACTGCCGCCAACAATAAAGAGGTTTTCTCCCCACCACCTCACCCTTTGCAGGCTCACCAGCATTTACTGTTTTTTGTTTGTTTGTTTGTTTGTTTGTTTTTTGTATCCAGAATTGAACTCAGGACCTTGTGCTTGCCAGGCAGGCACTTGTGCTGCTGAGCTATATCCCCGGCCCAGCATGTGCTCTTATTTAATTTCTTGAGGATAGTCATTCTTTCTGGAGTGTCATGAATTCTCCGTGTTTATTTAATTTGTATTTATTGAATGGTCAGCAATATTGAACATTTTTTCATATATTTATAGGCCAGTTGTGAGACATGCCATGTATTTTAAAACCCAATTTCTTGACTGCTCTTTTAATTTATTAATTTTTTTAAAATTTACTGTACAAAGCAAACATGTACAATAAACATATAGCTGAAAGATTGCAATTTAATGTCAATTGAAATTGTTCTCTTTGCAGTCACACTGTAATCCAAATTACAGTTCCTCGTGGGTCTTTTAATTTTGAGATCCTAGTTTTTTTCAGGTTTTACATATTCTAGATATTCACTCATTGTCTGAGGAATAGTTGGAAGATTTTTTTCCCATTGTGTAGATTATTTCCTCCCTTTGTTGTGTGTTTCCTTTGTTGTGCAGGAGCTTTTTAATTTGATATTATCCTATTTGTTGATTCTTGGCATTATTTCTCATAAAGAGCTGGCCTATGTCTGTGTCTATCACTTTCACCTCTTATGTCTTACAACTGATTGTTTCTGCTTTAATATTTAGACTGTTGATGAAGCTTGATTTTAATTTAGTGCATGGTGAGTGATGTGTATCTAGGTTTGATATTTGGCATTTGGAGAACCAGTTTCCCAAGCAGCTTTTGACAAAGGTGTGATTTTTATTCTAGCAGAGTATTTGACCGCTTGTCAAACTAAGATGCCTGAGATTTCTTGGTGTTGCTTGTCCCATTTGTTCTGTTCCAGTCATCCAGACATCTGTTCTTTTTTTTTTTGTTTTTTTAGTTTTTTTTTCCGGTACCGGGAATTGAACTCATGACCTCGCGCTTGCCAGGCAGGCGCTGTGCCGCTGAGCTAAATCCCCAGCCCCGATACATCTGTTCTTTTGCCAGTACCGTGCTGTTTTTATTACTGTAACTTTGCACTTTACCTTGAGGGCCAGAATTGTAATGCATACACTTTTTGCTTAGGATTGTATCTTGGCTACTTTTCTCTCATTGCTGAGACAAAATACCTGACACCCAGAATAAAGGAAGGAAAGGTTTATTTAGCTCACAGTTTGTGGAGGTTCCAGTCCATACTCAGCTGGCTCATGGCACCCGGCAGAGTGGCACATGGCACCGGCAACTGTTCATGGTGGCGGAAGACAGCAAAATCAGCAAGAGCAAAAGGGAGGAGTGGTGGCAAGCAGCCTCTTTCTCCCCCTTACATATGCAAAACTACCCGCCTGGGGGTGGGTGTAGGACTCACGCCCATAATCCCCACATTAGACCATGCCTGGATGATAAACTCTAGAAGCCCAGCTCTATGACTGCATGAGGCTCTGGGGGGATATGCAGACATAAACCATAACAGATTGCTTTTAGCATTTGAAGTCTTTTCTCGTTACATATGAATTTTAGGATTTTTTT